ATGGCGTTTGCATGTTTTTTCTAGCATTAATTAACTCTAATTAAGTTCACATTGCCCAGGCAAAAGTTCAAGAGAGAAGTAGGCGAACGACTAATGGCCGCAGGCTCTTTTTAATACTTCGAGTGAAAACTGTTCGGGAAAACTGGGGGGCAACTGCTTGCCGTCACATGTGCGGAAAGTTGAAGGCAACATTTTGCGACATTTAGCAGGAATTTACTTTGTGCGGCTACGAGCCGTACTCGTGCACATACGCTCTCGTAAAATGTAAAATGTTTAATTAAAGTATGCAAAGTTGTGTCAGCTGCCGCCGACTGTAAATAACTTCCGGTTCGTTGGTTGCCTTCGGCCTCTGGGTCTCGGCCTCAGTCTGGGTCTGGGTCTCGGTCTGGCCCCGGGTCTTTTGGACCCCAAAAAGAATCATCTTCGTGCCATCTTGTTAGCTAAGTTCTTCGTATGTTTGTCTTGTGTATCTGTGTTTCTGTGTGTGTCCCTGTTCCTGTCATGTTGCATGAAATTGATATTTTAATTAATTTTTCGTTTACGTTGCAAAAGTTTTCCCCTGCCCCGTAATTCGGATAACTTTGAAATGACCAACTTTTACCTGTCGTCTAATCTGTGTCTTCATTAACAACGCCCACAGGGTCTCCCTGTGCAGATGGTGTATTCCCCTCCCCCCCCCCAAGAAAACTTCCGTCTGTTTTTGGTTGAATTTCCATGTATTTTCATTGACTTTTCTGGAGAGTAGATATTGTGGATTCTCTAACGGGCTTTAACGAACTTATGGTGACATTTGTGTCTTTGCCACCTTCTCACTTGCACTTTGGACCACATGGGCCACAACATGGCCCACAACAAGGTCCACAGCAGGGGCCGCAACAGGGGCTGCAACAAGGGCTGCAGCAGGGTCCACAGCATGGGCCACAGCAGGGGCCACAGCAGGGACCGCAACATGGCCCACAACATGGCCCACAACATGGCCCACAAGGTCCACAGCAGGGGCTGCAACAGGGGCCGCAACACGGACTGCAGCAGGGGCCGCAACAGGGTCCACAGCATGGGCCACAGCACGGGCTGCAACAGGGTCCACAGCACGGGCCACAACAGTCACTGCAACAAGGGCCACACGGACCGCAGGGACCGCAAGGGCCGCAGGGGCCGCATGGGCCGCATGGGCCGCAGGGGCCGCAGCAAGGACTGCAACAGGGTCCACAAGGTCCACAGCAGGGGCTACACATCTTCGATTCGTGAGGCTGTAATAGAAGAATGAAGACAATGGTTTATGCACTTCTACGCACTCACCTTTGACCCGTTAGAGAAATTTATTCCAGATTTGGAATTTTGAAGGTGTTCGTGTGTTGATGTTTGACAATGAAATGACTTATCTCATTCTCTTTTGAGCTTAAAGGAAAAACCTCCTTTGGTAGAAGATCTTAAAAACTTTCATTCGTTTTCGTTTTTTCGTTTTTCAATATGTTTTGGGTTGCTTTGATTGTTCCATGTTAATCAACAGTTTTCGTGTGGAAATGCAAACTAAGCAACTTTTTCGACATCTGCTTTATTTTTGGTTGAAAGTTTCGAGCTAAACATTCGGCTGACAACTGGAGCGGGGGGACATGGCATCCTTCAGGGCATCTTCGCTGCTTTGACAAATCACGAACTGGCGGTGGAGCCTCGCTCTTCCGGACCCTTCTCTCCGCCCATCCTTCCGGGGGTCCTCTCCAACTGTCGTCGCTGACAATTGAACGGCTTTGATCTTTTCAGCGCTCATCTACAATTTTTGCGTGTCGATTGCGTTGATTGCGTGTGTGGATATGTGTATGTGTGGAGCGTGTCGCTCCCTCTCTCACACCGCTTGGAAGGCTTTGGGCGGAGCACCCCCAGCATGGCTGAAGGGTGTTGAACAGACAGTAGGGAGAGCGTGTGCTGTATTTGTCAGAGGACGACAACGAGCCTGGCACTGGCATTGAATGCCAGTGAAACCTTTTGTCAATTACGCTGCCATCGCTCACTTCTATTTCGCTTTTTCCCGCTGCCTTTTTTTTGGGCGGGCGAATTTCCATCGACGGCATGGACATTGCCATGCCTTTGCTGCTGCTGCTGCTGCAGCTGCCCTTGTCAGCAACAGAGCAACAGAGCGACATAGCGACATAGCGACGATTCGATAGAGTGGAGTCGAGGCTGAAAGGCAAAAAATAGGCATAGATGAAATGATTGCTGATTTCAGCTATGCATACACGTACGCCTGAAACTGCCACCTTTCTGCCTTCCTGCCTGCCTGCCGGCCTGCCACTCTGCTCCGTTCCGCTCGGGGAACCGCTCCCGGTGGCAGGCATCAGAAGCTCGCTTTCGCACCAATTAAATTGACGTACAAGTTGTCAAATTCGAAATCATTTTACGCTACATTCGTCGTTTTAATTGGAGCACAAATTCGGCTCCGAAACGATTGTCCATGCCCCCCTGACTATGGCAGGGATATGTGTTGCCGTACCTTTGATAGGATTTTGTCTATCCTGTATCCTGTCGTGTCGTGTCGTTCACTCATTCAGGCATTCATTCATGTTGTATCGTGGCAGTATTGGCCATCATTCAATTGTGCATGGACCAAAGTTTAGCCAGCTTTTGTGTTCAGCGAATTTTTCCAACAAATTTCCCAACTCTCACCTGAGTGGGAGCCTTACCAGTTTAAACTCCCATTTTTTCCAGCCTTTCATTTACATAACTAGATCAACTTTTTCTTCACAGTTTTGGTGAAGCTCAGAGAGCGGTTTTTCTTTCAATTTAAATTGCATTTCCAATTCAGTGCGTTTCGGGGTCACCAGCAGTAGCAGCAAATCGCATTGCACCCATCTATCATATCTATCCATCAGGTTTTGGTGGCGCCTGGATCCAGAGAACACCAAAACGACGAAGAGGAATATCGAAGGGAACTGTCAGCGACAGGCACAATTATGTCAAAGTCAAAAATTCTGAAACCATTTTCCCCGTCTTCCCCGTGCCCTCGCCCCCTCTCTGAAATTAATTTTATACCGAAAATGTTGTGCAGTCATCGGGCAGAAATAAAGGCTCCAGACCGAGAGGCAGACGGAAAAAAATCAATTGGTTTCAATGGATATGGGTATACATATATACACTGAGAGAACAAATTATAGACGGAATTTGAAACGAGAGTTGTAGATTTCGGACGTACATATATTCTGGATCAAAGTAGGTTTTTCTCTCAGTGTCTGACTGGAAGGGGAGTTGAAGCCCCTGCTCCTGTGGGTCTGCTTTGGTTGGCTTTAGCCGAAATTGCCAGTTAATTGGCAATTCAGCAAATAGCACGCGTTTTAGCGGACCTGGACCTTCCGCGTATTGCCAAATCATCGAGTCTGCTCGATGGTCCCGGGCTCTCTCTGCGTCTGTCGCTTCGAAGGGTGTGCTGCTAGAGAGGGAGGGTGTTCAAGTGGTGGCACCCCCCGCAAACAACAATCAATTTTAATGAACGGCATTCATTAAAAAACTTTGAAGCAGTGCGAAAATCATGATGGCGACGACAACGTCTCTCTCTCGGCAGCCACTTAAACGTCATTGATTAATTTGAAACCGAAAAACTGACATTTGCCAAACAGACAAATGTGTGTGTGTGTGTGGGATGAGATGATGGGGGAGTGGGTCTGTATCTGTGGGTGGGTGTGGGCTGGTTCTGGCTGGTGTGTGTGCTTAAAAGGACGCCACAGGATGGCCCATCATTTGCAGGAGTTGAGGACCCACGGAGGTCACCCACTCGATGTGTGGTTTGTTCTCCTGCTTCTTCGTCTGTGCCTGACTTGGCGGTTTTGTGTGTTCTGACGTTTCCTATCTGCCCCGGCGAGAACCGTTATATACTCATTTGCCACATTGTCATTTAATGTCGTTAGCTAGTTGTTGGTGTTGCTTCTGCTGTTGCATGTAAAGCGAGAGGCACGAAGTACGATAAGTGAAGTGAATGCAATTCGAGGGAATAATTTAGTGACTGATACTGAAGTGAAAACTAGGGGATGCTTACAGGAATTTGGTTGGTATAACATTTGGAAAACTTTAATTAGACCATAAGTTTAATATAATTATAGAAAAGTGGGTGCAAACATCTCTAAAAAAAACAAATAATTGAGCTGCTAATTGCACTTGCTAGAGGAAGCGAGAAAGTTCTGATCTCTTCCTCTGGCGTAAGCAAAATAGTCCAAAGTCCAAATCCAACAGCATCTTTTAGAGAGCGCATGAAACCTCCGACTGCTCAAGCTTTAAAAGACAAATTCTCAGAGTCCACTTATATTCTTCAACTGCATATCTCTCCCACTATGGTCATGTTGTTCTCTGCTGAAAGCACAAGCTTGACGCTCTGCGAGTGGAAAGAGAGCTTCCAACTGTTGATCTTTCCGACAAGTGCAAGCTTAAAAGCGCTAATCTTCAATAGAGCCCTTCTCTGTCCATCCCACTCTCACATTATTAGCCTCGACGCATACATATGTATGTATGTCAGCGCATTGGCTTTTTTCTCTCTTTATCCCGCTTGCACTTGAGAGAAATTCTCTGAGCTCTGCAGTATTCAGTTTCACCAACAAAATCCAAGAAAAGTCTCATAAATAGCTCTCTCTGTATGTAAGGTTATGCTTACGCAGTTCTGTAACATTTCTTTGAGAGCTTAAATACAGTAAATACATTTTGCGGCAGAATTTAAATACTAAAAACATACATGCAACGAAATAAATGCATAAAAGTACTGTTACGCCCATGTAAATTTAAGTTAAATGTTTCCCTGCTACTTTAATGCCCAATCAACTGTCGCACCAAGCCGTACAGCCCCACCCACCCTAAGCACCCGCATCAATAGCATCCATGTGTACGTGACATGGGCTCGGGCGAAATCGAAGCCCAAAATTGTCATTTCGATTAACAAGAAAACCACTTTTCTCTTACTTGCTTCCACCATAGCCACTCTCACTCTCAAGCTCAATCTTTCTCTCCTCCCAAATCAATTTCAGCCTCGAACACACAGACGTCCGCAGAGGCCACAGGAGCGCAGGAGACAGGAGCAGCATCAGCAGCATCAGCAGCCACCGTCATCAGTTTCGATGGGAGCAGCGACCCATCATCAGCCTCATCCTCATCCGCATACTCGGCGACCGCATTCTCCAGCCTTGCTCAAGTGTCCTCGCTGCTGCCGGAGGCGGCCGCCCTGTCGGCGACAGCAGCCCTGGTGGAACCATATCTGGATGGATATGCCACCTCCAATGTGACCACTCAGATCGGTACACACGCGTATCTCCCTTGTCGGGTGAGTGTCCCTCTCTACATATAGATTTGGCTAAGATCCAACTAGCAGAGAAATAAATTTCATAATTTCTGGTTTATTTTTCCCTCTATTACGAATATATTGCGTTGCGTGTTTCGGATTCGGCTTCGGATTGTGGGGTGTGGTGCGAGTTATGCGTGCGTGTTTTTATTTGTAATTATTATTATGGTGGGCGGCCCTCATCAACGCTTAGAGAGCCCAGGAGCAGGAGTCTTTCCTAATAGAAAACACATTAAATTTTATTGCGTAAATATTTGTTGGTGGGCGCCCCAGGACCAGAAGGTGGACCAACAACAACAACCACGAGACCGAAAGCAGGACGAGGTGTGACCGCAGCGTGTGTATTTAACGCAAGGCTGAAAAACAAATGCCAAACACAAACGTGGCCAAGACTCTCGGGCTATTTCTCACCCGCACCCGTCGCATTGTTTGGCCAGGTGTTTAAAGACCCACAGCGGCAATACCTGTAGCCCGCGGAGCAGGGGGCTTGGGCAGGGGGGACACAGGTCAGAGGTGACCTCAGGCACGCAGCCAGCAAATTGTTTGCTTACAAGTTGTAAATATTTTATTTAGCGTAAACGAAAACTGAAAATTAAATTTCAACAAATTAGTTTTATGGCATCGGCTCGGCTCTGGCTCTCCGCTCTCGACATCGGGTATCGGGGTCAACCGGCCGGCTTTACGTGACTCCTTTGCCAATGGAAATGTTTTACTAATTATTTAGTGGCTTTAAACTTTGAACAAAGGATTAAAGTGTTGGTTAATCCCGCTGCGGGGAAAACAATGAAAGCCTGAGGGAGGGAATAGTTACATATCGCTGGACTTCACTACGAAAATCTAGTCTACAAAACGGAGATACTTAAGGTTCTGCTGCTCCTCCAGGAGATATTTCATTTCAACTCACTTTAATTGGTGGGAAAGTGCTGGAAAATTCCAAAAAGAATCAAGAAAAAGTTCTAAAAACCAAGAAGCTTGATGATGGGGATGGTCCCCCAATAGATATTTCACTGTCTCCTCATACTCTTTGTGAAACATGCAACATGGCTAATTATTGCGCCCCAAGCGATGGAAATTCCTTGGCATAAAACATCAATTCAGGAACAAAACGTGGCAAAACAAAATGAAATAGAAATTCCTGTAGGCAAAGAACAAAAAATAAGGGAAATTCCTGAAATATTTAATGCTCGATGATGAGGGCATGCTTTCCCGTTGGCTGTAATTTTCCAGCCGAGCAATGTTAATTTCTTGTTGTCATGGTCAATTAAGTGCTTGCCACAGAATTTAACAAACGACAGGCTAGACAGATGGTCTCTGCCTCTCCATCCACCTTCCGCCATCCGCCATCCGCCATCGCTACAGCTACAGCTACAGTCCGGAAGGGGAATGAAAAAGTCTAGGTCTTCCCATCCAGTCCGATGGTGGAATGAAAAGTATAAGGCTCGCATCTCAATTTTCGTCAATTACCCGTCGTTGGCTTTACACTTTATGCCCTCAGTTTGCTCTCTCTCTCGCTCGTTGCTCCCCATTCTCCATTCGCCTTTCATTCCATTCTCTGTTCAAATGCTGCATTAAGTGGCACAGTTGAGTGACTCCTCTTAGTCCAGGACGTGGACATTGACAGGGACATGGACAGCGCACAAGTTGAGCAAAGATTGGTCTTTGGTTCGCTTCTTTTCAAATTGGCCTGGCACTTGTCCTGGGCATTCGATTCGATGACATCAGGTGATGGGGCATCAGGCAGCAGGCAGCAAATGGCTTATTTGAAATATTCCAAGCAGCAGCTTATTTGTAATTGTCGAAGCTTTACTTTTGTTCCAGTCAGGAAACAGAGGCATAGAATGTGCAATGGCTTGTGGAGTGGTGGAGGTGGTGGAGGCGGCTTCCTTTCTAAATTGCCTTAATTTCAAACTCGAAGGCAGAACAATCAATGGCTAAGGAGGTTTCCTTTCCGGGGCCCATTGATATGTGGCTCCATTTCCATCTGGCAAATGCAATCAAAAGTAATCTAGGAAATGGAATTTTCCACAAAACTAAATTAGTAATCTGGCATTGAGAGACGGTCCTCCGACCTTCCCTTCCGACGACCAGTCGTCTCATTCCCAATTAAATGCGACACATGCATTGGGCGCCTAATGAGACCATTACAACAGAATTACAGGGCGGCGACAGCCACTAAAACATTTAATGGATACCTCTGTATACGTATACATGTATACCCATAGAAAACCCGATCCAAAGTGTTGAATGGACAAAATCGTTTCAATGTAAATAGGATAAAGCACTAGCAAATGACTCTCGCTCTCTCTCTGTATCTGTATCTGTATCTGTGTGTGCATCTGCGTGAAGGGGTGTTCTATAAATGCATTTTAGATTTACTAACTACGACACATTTCGATAATATCTGAAACATGCGGATGCCTGGGCCTCTCAGGCCTCTCCAGGGTCTGTCTGTCTATCTGCCTGCCCGACCGAGAGTCTCATGTTCATTTCGGTATTTAATTACATTTCAATGTAGTTTCTGTGGCCGTTGGGGAGGCAGCTATACCGCCCGGATACTGCATACATTTCGGTTGCACTAATTTACTCTCTTGCCGCCGCCTCCTCCGTCCGTCTATGTGGGTGGCTGGTGCACTTTGACATTTCTCTTCCACTTGTTGAGCAACCAACCCACAGCCCGGTGCCCCTCTTCTAATCACTTGGGGGTTGTCAATGTTGTTAATTGAGCGTAGAGTTGGAGTACGAATATTGTGCAGGGGAGGATTAGATGATGGCTTGCCAGAAGACTAGACATTGAATTCATTGAAGATGCGAGTACGAGTATGAATTGCCAGCGGTTCTTTGAAGTTATTCATTGCTAGCTTAGTTCTACAGGATATGCAGCAGGATATAAATCTTCTTGAGGGCACTATCGATACATATAGTATTTTCATGAGTTATTTCGTAAACAGACAGGCCTCTTGGATCTCTATTTCTATTCAATTTTGTATTCTTAAGATTGACTTTTTAGTTGATTTAATGCTAACATGAGCTTCAAGCTCCCATTCAATTTCATTCGAAGACGTATAGGGATTATACAATCTTTTATAATAATTATACTGGTTTATTTATTGGTATTTCTGAAAATATTCTCTATAGGTTTGTGTTATACATAGATTACATCATTTTGAGTGCGATTTTCTTTGTTTTCCATTGATACATTAATTGGATTTTCCCTCGTTTTAGTTCGCTCTATTAATTCGTATTCCCATTTATATTTAAATTAAATTTCCTCAATTTCCATGCCATTGACCAGGTCTTCATTCCTCTCTCTCTTTCTCTTTTCAACAGGTCAAACAACTGGGCAACAAATCTGTTTCCTGGATTCGACTGCGCGATGGACACATCTTGACCGTTGACAGGTAATTAACAAAATTCATTTCCGTACATTTGAAATTATAAATCAATTTTCATCTGACGCATGCAGAGGGGAGTGGGGTCGAATGATATCATTGCCAGTTCCTGGCTGCCCCGGGGGACACTCAAAGTACTATTGTTTTCCCCTCTCATTGACAGCGCAAGTGTTATACATATAATCATCATTCAGAGACAAGCGCAAATATTTGCGCAATTATTCCGATGCCAAATAACGTATAATATTTAAGAGATTTCCTGATGGCCAGGCCTCTGTTCGAGACAATGCATAATTATGATTAATGAACGTCAACTGGAATGCAATTTAACAATTATCACACCCCGAAAATCAAGAATTAATGACAAGCAAATGAGATGATCAATGTATGTTTAGGCGCATCCTGATATTAGCAGAGACAATATCTTATTTTATAACTTATTTCGGAGATAGGCTCAGATGAAAATTAAGATTGGAATATGTCTGAAAGCCTCTGCAAAATATTAATTAGGATTGCGTATTAGTTCTTGGAGTCCGGTACCTCGGACCCACGCTCCTCATCTTCCTGGTACACGATATCGGCCATTTGCCACACTTCCATCAAATTGTCGGCGGACACAGAGCATATGGTCCATGGGAACATTGGATTGGGATTCCACGAGAAGTCGTTGATTATGGCCGTGTGCCCGCCATGGATGAAGAGCAGCTCTGGCGGCCCATCCACGACTTCTTCTGAGCATTGTTTGTCGCCAATTTTCGACAACATCCATACGTTCAAGCGGCAATCGCTGCTAGCCGAAGCGACGATATTTTCATTTGAGGGATTCCAATGAATCTGGGTGATCTCTCCCTGGTGTGCCCCAAGCGAATGTAATTTATTCTTCAGATTACGCATATCCCACAAGGCGACAGTCTTGTCAGCGGATCCAGTGACCAATGTGTACTCTGAGATGGGATTGAAAGACAGACAAGTCACAGCGTCTGCATGGGCATCGACATTAAACAATGGCTTTGTCGTGTTGCCGTTGCGTATATCCCAGATCATGAGCTTCCGATCATCGGCCACAGAACCGAAGACTGTTTGCTGCTGATTATGCCAGGCGACATCGCGCACTGGAGCGTTGTGTCCAGTGAAAATGTTCTTGGCATCGATCACGCGATGGCTCTTGGGTGCGGCATTAATGTCCCACAAGCATATTTTTTCATCATCAGAAGCCGACAGCAAGTAACCTTAAAACGGATTCACATTTAAGAGATTTTACCAAGAGGAGTAGATTGTGGGTGCGTAACCGCTGCTTTGGCTTACCCATCTGCTTCGGATGCCAGGAGAGGCCAAATCCCCCCTTCGTGTGGCCACGCAGGCGCAGATCTGGCACGCATTTGCCGGGACTTTCCGGCTTGCTCGGGTGCTTTGTGTAGTCAAACACCAGGACATCGCTCGTTGGCGATTTGGTGGCTATGATGCAAAAGTCTTGTGGCATGTAGCGAGCACGGTTCACCTCGCCTTCGTGGTTGATGATGACCTCCATTTCGATTTTGCCACACCCCGGACCAAAGCCACCATTCTCCCCCATCTCAATGCCGTAACGCGATCTATCAATCTGTGCCTCCTCGGTGGGGACCGGCACGCTGGCAATCAACAAGTGATGCGGTTCGTTGTTCGTCGTGTGTGTCCCCAAAATGAGACGATGCACCGAGTATTCCTTGCCGTCCTGCCCGGATGCACCGGGCAGCCACTGGGCCGTCAACGATGGCCACTCGAGAGCATGTGTCACAATCTCATCGTACATATATGGTGTATTTTTCTTCCATATCTTGTACTCCTCGATGATCAACTGCTCGGCATCGCCATCGCCATCAACCTCGACATCGACATCGACATCGACATCCTCATCGACACTGAGTTCCGCTGGTGGAAAAGTCATAAAATTAGCATCAGTTTATTCAATTTATCTATGTACTTTTAGAGGTTATACCATTGTTATTGTAATCATTCATTTTAATGTGCGTATTAAAGCAGAATTACAGAAAAATCGGTTCCAAATACAACGAAAGACAAAGCGGAAAACAAAGTAAAACTTAACACACCGCAAAAGGCAATAAGAACTCGCACAATTGGAAATACGGGTTTTCTGCTCTATTTTTTGTTACAAGCACATGCCGTAGTGCTAGAGATGGAAGTGAGCTGTCCAACCAAATATCGATAACAAGAACAATAGCAGGACTGCACTTTTAACAGGGTGGCAATATTCAGATCTCTTCAATTTTATATTGAATTTAAAAAGAGATGGGAGATGGAAGTGAGCTTTCCAACCAAATATCGATAACACGAACAATAGCAAGACTGCACTTTTAACAGGGTTACAATATTCAGATATGTTCGATTTTATATCGAATTTAAAAAGAGATGGGAGATGGAAGTGAGCTGTCCAACCAAATATCGATAACAAGAACAATAGCAGGACTGCATTTTTAACAGGGTGGAAATATTCAGATCTCTTCAATTTTATATCGAATTTAAAAAGAAATGGGAGATGGAAGTGAGCTGTCCAACCAAATATCGATAACACGAACAATAGCAAGACTGCACTTGCAATATTCAGATATGTTCGATTTTATATCGTATTTAAAAAGAGATGGGAGATGGAAGTGAGCTGTCCAACCAAATATCGATAACAAGAACAATAGCAGGACTGCATTTTTAACAGGGTGGAAATATTCAGATCTCTTCAATTTTATATCGAATTTAAAAAGAAATGGGAGATGGAAGTGAGCTTTCCAACCAAATATCGATAACACGAACAATAGCAAGACTGCACTTTTAACAGGGTTACAATATTCAGATATGTTCAATTTTATATTGAATTTAAAAAAAAAAGTTACAGGAAATATTTTAACTTATTGTATTCCCAAGATATGACTAAGTACTGGATCCCTAGATCCCTCTAATAGAGCTCCCAGCCTCCATCCACTGGGATTGCACATTTCGTTCCGTGTGTTATTTGTGTAGATTCAATTGAGACGAAAACAATTTACAACAAAATGAATTAAGAGCACAAACTTTGTGCTCGCTCCTGCGAGCAGCAGCATCATCCGAAGAGCCTTCTCCCTCGTTCTCGCCTTCCTTTTCAATTCCAATCTGTGTGTCCAGCAGGAGAGCAGGATACGCCTTCAGCTCAGGAAGAGGAGGAGTGGGAGGGGAGAAGGAGGACACGGCGGACACGGCGGAGTAGAGTAGCTCTGCACATCAATGATGCCTGGCTTGTGGATGTGTGGATGTGTCCTTTGCCGTGTTCCGGGTATGACATGCCAAGCGGAAACGCAAGTGTGCAATTTCATTGCACATTTTTTTTGCTCCTCTCGAAATCCAGTAAAAACTTTACTTCAAGCTGTCTCCGACTCTGGAGCTGGCTGCCTGGCTTTTCTCACTGCTTTCTCCCTTCTGTTTTAGCCACGTTTGCCTTTTGGGAGTGTATTGGACAAGGTGGGCAAGGCAAGGCAAACATTTCCAGCTTATTACTTTGATAGAAACGTAAAACCAATGAACCTTTCACATTAGATAAGACGGGGCAGTGGCAGTGTGGCAGAGGCAGTGGCAGTGGCAGTGGAAGTGGAAGTGTATGTTTGTCCCACAGTGAGAGAGTGAGTGTGTCTGAGTATCTGTGTGTGTCTAAGGATGAATGGCTGGGGCTTGAATGAATGACTGGCTGAAGGAAGCAAACATTGGCTGAGATGGCGAGGCCCCATGCCCATGCCCATGCCCAGGCACTGGAGCATTGAAATTTAGCCGAGATAGTGTCCTTACTGATTGCTTCCTGCACTGCGGCCCAGCACCAGTCCACACACTAGTCCAGGTCTAGGGTGCAGTGTCATGGCAGTGTATCCTCCACTCCGACCCACTCCCCTGCCCGCTTCGGGGCCAAGAGTCCATCTTCATGCATTCGCTGCTTCCGCTGCCGGTTTCTCTGTGTCTTTCCTGCTCCAATGTCTTCTGTCACATTTATCTAGAAAGTTTTCTTTTTCCACGCTCAAAGAAAACCCCAACTGTTTGTCCTTCGGCTCTGCAGAAGCAGCAGCAGCCCCGGCATATCAAACATAATGGGAATAGATTTCAAAAACTTTTAGCCAGTGAGACAGATAGAGATAGGGAGAGAGAGAGAGAGAGAGAGAGAAGGGAAGAGAGGGCCGAATGTGTTGTATAATAGCGCAAATGATGTGTTTACACTATCATATAAATGTCACGTGCAATGGCGCCTTTTGTTTGCCCGCTGGACATATGCTTTCCTCAATTTATAGCCCATCCACCACTTACACAATGGGCGCCAGGCACGGCTCCTGGCCGGGACAGAAGTGATTCGGTTAGAAGTGCTCGGTGGTAGGTGGGTGGCTGGTTCAGGTAATTACCTTGCAGCCAGGTGTTGCTTGACTACTTTGTTATCTCTTATCTCTGGGTATGCGTGCCACAGACACACACCACACGCACAAGGAGCCACAGAGTCTCCCAGTTGCATGTGTGCAGGAGATGCGTTGAGATGGGATGAGCTTCCTTTTAATAGGATTCCAGGAGAGTGGCAAAAACTGGATGGGACCACTCCCAGTCAAAGGAAATGAAATGCGGTTTTGATATGCTCTCAAGATCGAGGTGGTGTTTGGGGGCACAAATCTCTTGAGAGTACCTCCTTGAATCTATGGTTTAGTTTCTTTCGTTATTAGAGATCTGTAAAGCTGCAAAGATACTTATTTAAGTAGGGGAAAAATATAAAATAAAATTCGAATGTGAAGAAGACCTCTTAGAGTAAAGAGAAATAACTGCCAGAAGCATTCCTAACAGGTTTTACAAAAGAAATAGCTGCGAATATCCACTTTCAAATAATTGTTTTTCTTTTGAAAACCGCTTTCCCAAAAATTCCAAAAATCTCCACAATTCCCATGAATCCAATCTTTTGATTAGCCTCCATTAAGCAGTGTATTGGTTGCATGCATCACATGTATCCAAGTGGCTGAGAGGAGAGCTCGCACACACAGAGAAATTTCAACAATAAATTGCAGATGAAAACTTGTGCAGCATCCGAGGGTCACTAGGGTACCAGCACTTGAGCAACGAGCAACGAGCAACGAGCAGAGAGAAGACCACAGAATGCCAGAAAATAAGGACCGACCAAAAGGAATTGTACAAAAAATATGGCATATAATGGAGAAAGGAGGAGTAGGAGTCGGAGGGAGGGGGGAGCTGGAGTCTTTGCTAAGAAGAAAGTCAAGCACCACTGGGAAAACTTTAAAATGAAATGAAAATTATAAAGTAACTACAAAATCTTGATAAGAAATACACAGCGACAACTGGAAGGGGGGAAGGTAGGGATTGTAGTGGTTTCTAGGGGGTGGGGAAGGGTGTGATGTATACAGTTTAGGGGGCGCAAAGGAAATGGCAAAAGTCATAAAATGTCGAGTTTTACGAGTGCAAAACGCAAGGGTCTAATCTGGGTTTAGCATCAAAACTTGTTAGTGTATGGGGCAGTGGCAGTGGCAGTGCTTCCTGGCCAAAAAGATTGTGTGGAGTGGGTTTTGGGGGCGCATAATAAGCAATGTCAACGCATGTGTGTGTGGCAGGGGCAGGGCTTTCGTGGGGTTAAACTCTCATTGCATTTTAGCCAAATGACGGAAACATTTTTGCACTTTAGGCAAAGTGCAGAGGGCAATTTTCCCGAACAGAGAGAGAGAGAGAGAGAGAGGCTTTGGGGTGACCCAAGAAGGAGCAAAAATATTGCAACAACGACATTAAACGCAACTTATTTTAGTACTACTTCCCTTCAGCATTTGCATGTTGCCTGGCCCCCCGCAACATGCAACTTTGTTGTCGACTCTTCCTTCTCCCTGTTGCTTGTTGCCTCTTATTGCAGATTGTTGTTGCAGGCTGCTGTTGCTGTTGCTGTTGCCGTCGACGTTTAAATGCGGCAACTAAATAACTTGGAGTGTCTTTTGAGTGGCCATTAGTAGCGGACTTAGCAAAGGGACTAAGTGGGTCTACTGTTTGGGTGATCCATTGTTCTATTGTTGAATACCTTTTCTGCTAAATGCTGCGTTTAAACGCTGTTCTATTTTTGAGATAACCGATTCGAAAGAGGGTTTCTTTAGGGAACTATCTAGTTGTATTTTAAATAATAATAGTATTTGTTAAAGTGTTTAAACTAGTTCTCATTTAAATTGAATTAAACCCACTTTTCAAAATTTTGTTCCAGGGCGGTCTTCATAGCCGATCAGCGTTTTCTGGCCATCAAGCAGCCGGACAAGTACTGGACGCTGCAGATAAAATATGTACAGGCCCGTGATGCCGGGTCCTACGAGTGCCAGGTCTCCACAGAGCCCAAAGTCAGTGCGCGTGTCCAGCTGCAAGTTGTGGGTAAGTAAAGTCACGGCCAAGACCATGAACATGAACATGAACATGAGCAGGAGCATGAAATATGTACATATGAATAAGTAGTGCGAGTATGTGCTCTGGAGTGTGTAATTTTTTGGGTGTCAGTGTGGCAAAGGTCAAGCGGCAGCAAATGCAGAAACTTTTTAGCCTTTGTGGCAGCCACAGACATCCAGAGAGGAGGTCACACATGGGGGCCGGAGATCTTTGCATGTTTCATGCGGCTGCTGCATTTCAAATTACTCACTAAATTGCATTCAAATTGTGGCTGCCTCTGCGCCTGCTGCCCATCCATTGCCCATTGAAAAGCTACAAAAAAAAAGCGAACAAATTTCTTTGCTTGGTCAAGTTTTTTAACGAGAAAACTTTTACGTGCGTTTCTACGGGTCGGTCTGCTCTCTGGTTTGGTTTTCCATTGGGTTTGGGTTTTCACCACACACACTCACACTCACACTCACACGGGGGAAAAACTGTGGCTCTGGCTCTGGCTCTGGCTCTGTTTTTCCGGGGAGGTGGTGTTGGGTAAAAAGTTAATTAAATTTCATGTTTGCATACCGGAAGAAACACACAGTAGCCAAAGCCAAATGAACAATGTAAATGTCAGTGTCGAGGCACCAGACCATACGCTGCATGCACCGAATGGATTCTGTAATTGATATGGAATCGTGCATCGATATGTTGCAAACAACCGCACTCGACTCGAGGCTATACGACATGCTCATCACATGAAAAATCAGTGGCAAATATTTTTCGGATTTTCCAACATTCATTTGAATCTAACTATGCCAAATATATATCTCTGTGTTTTGTGGTCTGTGTCTGTAGAACACAGCAAACATTTTTCCTACTTTCCTTCTCTCCCGCTGTGCAGTTACTCCTTGGCTTGAAAATTACCCCATTATTTTAAATTCAACGACAATTTAGGCACCGAATTTAGGCCTCAGCCTACACAGAATTGAAAGGAAAAAGTGTGGAAAGTCAATTTACATTTGGAGCTGACAAATTGAATTTTCTTTTATCCAACTAACACTTTGGTTTTATGAAGACAAGGCGCACAGCACAGAAATACAAAAAAAAACAAGCAAAAACGCAAAGAACCCAACCACATGCTGGGACGAGACTAAAAGAGCAAAAAAGAATACGGAATTTTTGGGGGCAAGGGCAATAGACTGGATAATGGCGTTGGCAAAAAGTGATTTTCGCATTTCCGGCTCAGCTAATTTGTATGCTAAACACTCACTCGCATGCCTAGAGGAATCAGGACTATCTTTGGCAGGATATAAGTACGTATATATGGCACCCAACAGGTATTTCGGGAAAATCCATATACGAGTACGAGTATTCTTTTGGCTGTGTGGAAATTTCGTATGCGCGACCACATTTGCGTTAATCTAACGACAAGTTTAAGCAGAAAGGATTTCTATTCATGCCCTGACATGGATTTTCCACAATGGTTTTAGCGCACTTCCTATTCACTCAATCTCTCTCTCCCTCTCCCTCTCCCTATGGATTTTCCCCCTCTCCTTCTTCGCACAGCTACCGTGGCCATTATTTGCAGTCATTTGGCCTTCAACCATTTCTATGTCCTGCTCCAATCTCTCCTTTTGTTTGTTTGAAGTTGAATTTTTGCCCATGCGTTTGCCTGTCTTTCCCTCTGTTCCTTGCTGGCGTTCCATTCTTTTGGCCATAACCATTATCGCCAGCACCTCTCATTCACCGCCTCTCACCCCTCTGTGTGCAGTTTTTCCTGGATCTATTCTCCCTCTCTTCTCACCCATTTTTTTGTCGCGCTGCTTGGCTGATTTTGTGCCTTTGCCATGTAATTTGTATTTATTGCATCGTTTTGTCTGTGCAAACGGCTAAAACTCCCTTTGCATGTTGTCGATTCTCGCCTCGTTTTCGACCCACCAATCCCACCAACCCCAACCACTTCCAACCCCATTCCTATCCCCATTCACATTCCCCCCCTTTTTTTGCTGAATGATTTTGATGCCAAGACTTTGGCAATGGCTTTTATGTTGAGGCTTTGGCCTTCCTACCGCCTGCTGCTTGATTTCTGAGCCATAGCCAAAAGTTGGGGTAATAGCCTCGTAGTTTTCGGTCAATTTGTTATGCCAATGCGTATGTGTGTATGTGTGTGTGTGCCAGAAAGAGACAGATATACAGAGTGCTGCCTTGTTTGCTTTGTTGTTGGTTAAAATGTCAGTTTCTTTGGTTTTGGTTCATTTACTCAAGCTTTTGTGGGTCAGCAGCAGCATCAGCAGCAGGAGAAGCAGGACAATGGCACAAAATCCCTGTTAATAGGCCAAAAAGGCAGGACCCATCAAAGTTTAGTTTGCTGAAAAGTTTATGCAATAATCTTTTAAACTTTGGCAAAGGAAACGAAATGTGGATGCCTTCTCTTTCTGTACCACCAACCAAAAGTCAAATTATCGCCCACGGTACATGGCAGTCCCCGCCACATACTGGTGGCCTGAATGAATGAATGAATATATTTTTTTCTGCATCATTGAACGACAAACTAGATTTGGTTTTATGAGATTCGTTTTCTGTTCAGCTCATCTCATCTCGTTTTCGACTCTCGTTTCTCGTTTCGGTTTTCTCTTTTGGCCTCTGGGTCTCTGGTCGTCTGCTTATTTAATTTGCTGCTAATCTTGTACCAGCCAAAGCCAATTTTGGGTTTACTTTCTCTTTTCTTCTGTTTTTTTTTTTTTGTTTTTTTGCTTCTTTCTGTGGCAATTTTATCTCACCATCAAAAGTGACAATATTCCCTGTGATGTTTATGCACCTAAAGACGGGACAGACAGGAAAGACGGAAAGGACTGACTGGGACTCCAACTAATTTCCCTAAAAGCATTTCGCCATAAACTCAATTAATTTAAGTTGCTGCAATTCGCCATCGCCTGACACTCTTAACCCAAGAAGCCATTGCCACTTCCGTTTCCCCTTCACTTCAGCCTCAGAGTCCCTTTTGTACTTGGGAAATTAGCTAAAAGTGTGGTCAAAAGTTTGAGGTTTTCTTTGCTCCGGTCTGCTTTTCTTTTCTTTCCACTGGCTCAGGCTATTGGGTTCTTCTACTGGATCTGGTTCTGGCTGAATGATATCTAAAGTTGTGGGGACAATCAATGGACACTATCAGTGTGTGTAGTTAATTAAATGAATTCCCCAACAGCTTCTGTATAATTATCTCCCTCTGCGTGCCATAGTTTTTTTCGCAGAAGTGGTAGCTGCAGCTCCCTGGTGCTGGTGCTGGGGTGTTGCGTGGGTGATAAAGTAGAGCGTTTGCTAATAACATTGCCATTTGCCACTGCTTCTAGTTTTATTTTACTATCCTGTAAACGTGCTTGTGAACTAAAAGGGCATTTCGTATTCGGGATATGTTTGTAGTCGAGAAAGTATATATATTCTGCAAAAGCTACAAAAAACAAGTCGATAAAGCCAGCACCAAAAACCAAGCAATTCATCGGAGTACCTATTTCTCTTTGTCATAATTTGCTTTTGAATTTTATGACATTCCCCAGATATTTCCCTACTCGAGGGTATCGTTTAATCGACTATCGAGCCCCCATTTGATATTCCATAATTTTTTTCCCATGTCGCGCTTCTCCAGTCAAGCAGCTGGAAAACTAACATGCAACAACATGACGATTTTGACAAGCTGACACACTTTGGTGTCAAACCAGAGCATGGCGCGTGTTCCACAGCACGCTTCTGGTACAAACACATCCGTGGAAATCCACACACACACAGATACACACTCGTACACTCCAGAGCATAGTCGGGGCATTTTGTGTAAATTCTCGGCGCACTCATTTTGCACACATTTTTGTGTAACAGCAGTGAAAACTCGTCGTATACGTGATTTTGTCAAATTTCAAAGCACACGTCTCCCCATCGGCGCAAATGAAGACGCCGCCCGCCCAGCCCAGGCCTCGAGAGGTTCGGGGAGGTAAGGGGCTCGGAGGCGTTCAGGTCGTGTGAAAATATATGCGCCAACATTCCCAACTTGTTTCTGTTCATTCTGTGCGCTTTTTCAGGCGGGGCGCATACCCCTACTCTCTCTCCCTTTTTTTCTACTTTTTGTTTGACACAACTCTTAGTTTGTTATGCATGTGCGTGTCTGTTGGCCAAAAAAGTCCGTCCGTCCAGGGATGAGGAGTCGAGTCTCCAAGGGATGGGGAGAGAGAGAGAGAGAAAGAGAGAGAGACCAAGAATCAGTAAGTGAAAAATTGAAAAGTGGATTTTCTTTGGGTGCCAGATTTACGTGTGCTACGTGACTCCCCAGCTGTTAATTCAATAGATTAGCGCCAATGACACAATTTAAGGATGGGGGGCCACAGCCACACAGTTATGCTTATGTTCATCATCATCTAATGCGCTGCCACTCCCTCTGTCTCTTCTTGAATAGTGCCCCGCACGGAGATACTGGGCGAACCAGATCGCTACGTGAAGGCTGGCAGCAATGTCGTCCTACGCTGTATTGTCCGTGGCGCCTTGGAGCCGCCCACCTTCATCATGTGGTACCATGGGGCCGAGCAACTGGCAGCGGACTCGCGACGCCATCGCACGCAATTGGATCCCAATCTACCGGAGGCCACTGGCGAGGGACAGAGCACGGTGAGTACTACTCTTAGTCCTCGTCCTCGTCCTCCTTGGCAGAATGACTCCCTTGTTGATTTTAATTTAATTACACTCAATTTCAAAAGGCTTCTTGGCTGCTTCTGATGCCGCCATTGCCACTGCCACTGCCACGTGTCTGCGTCCGGGTGTGCAGCACAGCAAAAAAAATTATAATATTGTTTCATAAAAGTTTCAGTTTTGTCGCATTTCTCTCTAATTGCCTGTCCCATAACTTTCTGACCCCCACTGCCCCTGCCCCTGCCAAGACTTGGTTCTGTTCTGCAGACTGCCAAATATTTGGAGTACGTGCGTCTCGGTGCCCCAAACTGTTTATCTTCTTTTTTGGTAGTTTCTTTAACATTTCTGTACTTGAACTTTCTTTTTTGGTCGCTCTGCAGATTGGCTCATTAATCATCGAGTCGGCCAAGAAGCGCGATACTGGCAATTACACATGTAGCCCGTCGAATAGCCCCAGTGCGACCGTAACACTGAACATAATAAATGGTGAGTCGCGACGTGAAATATGTGTGTGTCTGGACAAGTCCCTAACGGAGTGGTGTGTGCTTTCCTTCTTTTTCTTATGTACATTTCCCAGGTGAATCATCTGCATCGGCGGTCACCTCATCGGCAGCCACCACACGGGCCTATGCCCTAAGCATCCTCGCCCTGCTGCTCAGCGTCATCCTCATCGGTGTGGGCCATCGGACATGACATGTCAACGGAGCGAGGCCAAACTAAGGAGTGAATCCAGAACTCTGCCAATATGAAAAAACCAACCCCAATTTGATAAGCATTAAAAAGCAGAATGAAGTGAAAGGAAATTAAATCAGATAAATACACATAATAATCGAGTGCATGTTGTAAGCTAGTTGATTTTATCTACTGACTAATAACTCAAGAAACGTAGGGAAGGAAGGATAAATCCGTAAGTCCCTGGACACACACACACACACACACACACACACCCTCTCTCTCCCTCTCTCCCACTCTCTCTCTCTATCTATGTAGCTGTCTAGCCCCCAAGACATTGCAGCTAATTGTAAGTTCTACGAGCTCTAAGCGAAAACTAGTCCGTAAGCACCAGCCCCCACAAATCCACAAATCTCCCACTAGTCTTAGGCCTGATTTCTGTCATAAATTTAATTTTTTGGGTTTTGTCCGTTCGGGTTTCCTTTTGTTTGGCTTTCGCATAAATGCATAACCGTAAATATTTATGCACTTCGATATGCAATTGCGTAGATATCCTGAATCTGAATCTGAATGCATTCAGCTTGCAGGAATTTCGAGCATTATTTTTCGGTAAAAAATTCAAACTAGAATTGCAGTTTCTGTTGCAATGTGGCCACATGCTGCACCTTTCAATTGGCCATTTGTATCTCCTGCTGCTTTCTCTCTGTCTAGATGGTGACATTAAATATTTTTAGTATTTTCTAGCAAATACTTTGACACTTGACCTCGTTTCGGGCAACATCCTTTGCCAATAAATTTCATAAAAATTCTCATATCGATGTGTAGACGGAGAGTAAGCCCGTCCCGATGTAGATCGAATTTCAATATTCATTTAATTTGTGTACTTAAAAGAACATAGAAAAATTCATGTTTGATATTTGTGTGACATTTGCAAACAATTTACATGGCGAAAATTTATGAAACTCTATTTTATGTGCTCTTATCTCACGAACATGCTCCAAACATGCGCGAAAAAGCCAAAAAAAATAAATAAAAAATCATAAAATATAAATAAAACAGAAAATTATAGCAAATACATTCATTGATCGAACATAACAGAAACGAGAAATGCGACATAAAGCTGCATAAAACAAACAATTTAAATGATAGCGAAGCGAAAGTAAATTTATTGGATTGGATTGAAGGGAGACGAGAACAGAACAGAAAACAGAACGAACTGACTCGCGCGCACTGTATATAACTCTATTGCGAGAATTGTTCGACAGAAAAATGTAAATTAATTGAATACACAAACCAAACCAGAGACGTATTCCAAATACTAATGAATTGCATTTAAACGATACAGAAAAAAAATCAACGACACACACACACATACATATATCGTATATCGTATATATATATAAATATAAAAATAAAGATAAATAAATAAGAGGAGAAACATGAAAGGCAAATATACGGTAGTCAAAGAAATAAATAAAAATAAAATCAAACAAATAAACGAACAAAATGCAAACATCGTGTGCCCGCAGGAAAAACTGTAGTATGCCTCACTCGTATTTATTTATCCACTTAACGTCCTTTTTAATTACACACACACACACACACACACACTCACCAATAGAGAGACATACAGGCGCACTATCCATGGCAGCAAATCCTATAAAAATTCTCGGAAATTAATTAAAGTTGTCTTTGGGTGCAGGCAGCATCAACTTAATTGCAATTAGGTGAATGCCATGCCCCAAACCCACACATGCAGATACCCACCCACACAATGCAATCAAACTGGCATTAATTATGGCTTCAAGGCTGTCACCGCCACCCCATACCGCCATACCGAATGATGCCAGGTAGGAAAACAAACCCCAATCGAAGCCCAATCAAAACCCCAATCGAAGTCGAACCGCAAGCAGCTGGTGCGCCAAAAGAGAACAGAAAATAAATGCCCATATCGAAATAAATATCTGCGGTCGCACTTAACGGGTGTCGAGACAATTAACACATTTCCCGTGTATCCATCAAATGCCTGCGGTTCGGTAGCCACACAGCCCCCCAGCCACACACTGCGGTTAACCGCCCAACACTTATCCCTCAGACTTTTATTTCAACACTGTAACGAACAGAGAGGCCCCACAGGAGTGAGGGCCATGACATTTTGCTAGCTGTAAGCCTATAACCATATAGAGACCATAGTGAGTACTTACAAAACGAAATCAAAATACATTTCTAAGCTCTCCAAGTGTTTTTCATAAGCTCGATTAACGTATAGATACAATACATGTAATTATCAGCAGACCCAAATCTATTTGTAAATAAATACTCGTGTACGTGCATTTGGCATTAGCACTCGCCCCCCTCCTCGAAAGGAGAATTTTGTGGGCGGGCATACATTTTAAAGATCGACACAGACACCGACACGGTCGAGGTACCCATGATATAGCAAAGATGTAGTCATTAAGTACCAACTAATACGAAAACCAAATACTTAAAAATATATTGTAAACAAAAAACTAAAAAACAAAAACTATGTGACAACTTTAACTGACAAATTTATTGCATTACATACAATAAAATAATTAAATTACTACATTATTAATACATTATATAGCAGAGTTCCATCAATTCCAGGATTCAGAGTCAATATCTGATCACTTGCAAGGTACTCGCTGATCAGCTCGCGGAATTGAGTGTTGATGGCAAAGCCTCGAATTTCCGGGTACCACTCCAAGCCCTTGTAGTCTCCATTTTCATCTACGGCAGGTTGGGGCTGCAGTTGGCCAATCCCACACCCGACCAAGACCCCGGTGACGCGATCTATCAGGGACAGGACTATCAGCCGACCCTTTGCCGGGCATGGGATAAACTCCAGAATCGATGGAATATGACTGACGGCCATTTTCAGGGTATTGGAAAGGAATGTACGAACTTCCATGGAAACTGGCCGGGGCGGCTGCAAAACAGAAGAGCACTGATGCGTTAGTGCTTCAGCAATGAGATCCGTATCGAAAACGTAGAACTTCTCCATAGTTCCATCAGTTGTATAGATCATCCTCAAAGGGGGCTCATACAACGTGGCAATGAGATATCCCAACTCAGTGCACGGCTCGAGACCAGGTACAGCCAATGATTCTCCATCTTCAATCATATTTTCCAGCTCACTATTGACTGCAAAAACCATCTGCTGATCAAACGGATTTTCGACTTCAGAAGAGGGCCATAATGATCCCATGATGGTCCAAAGAGACTTATCTTATTGTCTTAGCAAACAAATTCCAAGTAAATGGTTAAAGCGTTAAACAATGTCTATCAAAGAAAAAATTATTATTGTTACCTTTAATGCCGACTTTACTCTCTGAATTATTTTATTTTTGCTGTTGTTTGAACAACTCTGTGCAAAAACTAAAAATGTCTAGTCAATACGATACGGCATGACAACCCAATAGTCGGTCTACTGCGTTACAATAAATACAAACAAATATTAATTTTGTTGAGAGAATAATCCAACAAAATCTCTTTATATTTAACATAATTTATAAAGATTTAACAGCTTTACGGAAAATGCTCAAAATATAAGAGGAAAAAAGTAACAAATTAAAAAAAACACAAAACCTTTTTCCATTTCCGTAACATCAGGTCAAGGACTCGTTTTTTATTCTCCTCCCAAGGTGAAAGCGTGACTGAGGGGGATTGAGGAATTGAATTTTGCCGATTTTCCATTAGGACTACCAATGTCTATCAATTGTTGGCCATCCACAGCCACAGCCAGTGACCCAATCATTGTGTCTGACGCTTAATCAAAGTGCGGGGGTCACTCGAGAGGAGGAAAATGAAAAAAGGGGAATCTCTGCTTTAATTAAATGGAAATGGACCCGTTAGCGATGATGGAGGTAAGGTATGGACTAGGAGCTCATGCTCTTTATCTTTTGGGCAAATGAATTGTTTCTTGAGAGCAGTTTCAGGTGGTTGGGTTCCCAAAGTGAATGCAGTTTGACTTACTGGCGACCAGTAACCCATGGCAGTAAGTAGCCCCCAGATCTGATGGGATTTTCAAATGCAAATTGTATGCAATCGCACAAGTAGCAGCAGCAGCAGCAGCAAAGATGCATAATTTTACCAAAATGAGAACTAATGAGAGAAGAAGAGACGGAGATGAAAAGCTGGCAAAGGAAGAGCCCTGGGAGGTTGACCAACTGCAGTTGCATTTCCCTTCCAGTTCTCATAAACAGGGTCAGACTCGGAGTAGGAAATGCAAAGTGCATTCACATTTTGATTTCATTATTGCAATTTTCAGGGCGCGCCTCATGCCATTCCTGCCTCACTTCCGAGTGCAACGTCATCGCCTCAAGGATCCTTTCCCTCTAATAAGAGTGCCAGTGTGTGTGAATGGCGTGTGCTTCTGTATGGGTGTGCGTGCTCCACCTTCTATGACGCCTATTATGGGTTTACTCTATTCACAAGGTGAACCATTGAAAGGTGCCTCAAGGAGCCGGAGGAGGATGTGGCCTGGGCTAATGCCAAAGCCCGCCGTTCATGCCACACTTGTGGCTCCTAATGCTGCTGGAGCTGCAACAAAAACTCCTTTCAATTTGTGGGTGCAAAAGTTTTCGGGGCTTTCGGAATCAAAGCCAAGCCAAGCGGTCTGAATGAGATTTGAGCTGGCAAAGGATTATGCTGAAAAGCGATTTTATTACCGACAAGGATATCTATTCACGGAGCAGCTCTGTTGGTCATTTGGCCAGCAATTCGTTCGGGCTCTCTGTTGATTTTGCTCCTTCGACCCACTGAGGCCTTTCTTCCTGCCTCTTTGTTGGCCCGTGAAGGATGTCTGACCGTCTAAGGTGGAATTCAATTCAATTCAATTAGATACCCCACAAAGATGAAGGGAAAAACATTTGAAGAATATTTATATGAATATTCAAATGGCATTCCTTCGCTTTGATGAGGGCCATCCGACCATAAATCATTGTGGTAAACTTTCACTCAAATATTTTCCAGCATCTGCAACATATTTTCGAAAATTATGCAAAAGTAAACTGTCTCTTTTTCGTTTTCTTTTGGGTCCAAAGACAGAGCCAAAATTAAAGCGGAAGCAGGCAGGACATGAGCAAACAAGGCCCGTGCCGGTGCCGGACCCGGACCCGGGCCCGAACCCAAGGTCGCTGGCCCAAAAATTATAAATTTCCGTTTGGAATGAAGTTTCAAAAGTTCTGCATCAATGGCCACAAGGCATTTATTTTTTGGGGCGCAAAAGGGTGCCGTGCCGCAGCAGGAGTCCCAACCGGAAGCACCGAAAATGGTGACACCGGACATGAAATAATTCCAATTTTTGGCCATTTCCCCAAAGATTGGGCCAAGACGTAGGAAAGGCCCGAGAGGACCAGAAAAGAAATGAGTGAATTTAAATGTTTAATAAACTTTCAACCAACTACGCGGAAGTTTTTTCCACTCTTCCCCACTTTCTCTCTCTCCCTCTCTCTCTTAGCCATTTCCCGCAAAGCCGCAAACTGCGAAAATGGCGCCTGGGGAGGGC